TTTATTCATATAATCTCTTACACAATCCATCCATCTTCTTTTACTTATGTTTTATATAAGCAAAATATTTTAGGTATTTTTTATGTGATAGGAATATTTGCTGCTATATATTTCACAGGCGTTATAAAAGTACCTTCACATTTAGACTTTCTGTTTACTACCCCGAATCCTTTGTTGTTTTGTTTTTGAGTATTTACATAACTGAAATGACAATCAAGTTCACAGCCTTCCTGATGGTAAGTGGTAATAACCGTCGCATATATAAATGCCATGGACAGTACGTTATTATTCGTGCCATTATATCATTGCGGAGTATTTTTTTTTAATGGATGATAATGGAATGGTGCACCGGCTTGTGCTAACGGTTTACGCTGGCCGAGCATCAGTGGAGGATGATAAGATGAACATGAGGTCAGGTTAGTTAGCCTATTGTGACAAAAAAATCTCCACGAATTCATAACGATAGTTTCTAGGGGAAACCACATCAACCTGACAAGGTACATTGCTAGCAATAGAATTACTTCATTAGTAACAATCTCTTTCATTCAGGAGGATTATAAGACTATACCTCAGAACCATGCAATTTCACTGCCTAAACTCACCCTTCAAAGAAGACCTGATATATCAGATGTTCGATTTTGACCAAAATGTTATCATTTTTACCCATTTCAAGTACTAAAAATACTTGAATGGAGTAAAAATGGCCTGTTTGCTGAAGGAATATAGCAATGTTTAAGTTGTTGTATTATTAAAACGAAATATGATTTGAATATATTGTACACAGAATTTCATAGACGCCACGGAATGTTCGAGAAGAAGTGCAAAATGTATTTAAAGTGTAACAAAACAACATCGATGGAACATACGCGACGTTCCAAATTTGAATTTTATAATTTTATTTTTAAATGTAATTATATGGCTATTTGTGATCGCAAACAAGGCCTTTGGCCAAATTCGAACATGTATATATATTACATATATATACATACGTTTTTCTGTATTTATCAGTTTTTATTTATTTTATATTAATTATTAAATTGCACCTTGCCTTATTATCTCTGATCAGCGCGACGGTTGACTGGTAGAGAATGCCATCAGGCATTAAGTCCGCCATGCATTTGTGTGAAAGAAAGAAAGAAAGAAAAATATTTTATTCAGCGCAATGTAAAAAATACAATATAAACAAGAAACGAAAAAAAATATATATAAACTACACAGTACATATTTGTACAGTATTTAATTTATAATATTTACAATATCATCATCATTCAAATATATAGTAACATATTGTCTGTTCAGAATAGTTTGTTACAAATTATTGAACATGCAGATGGCGTCGTGTAACGTGAGGAAAACACGGGAAACTTTCTTGGTTTACCACAGAGTCTTTCTACAAGATGTAAGCGGCAGCGTGTAATTAAACAATTATAAAAGGACAGGTCGCTGAAGTTTATGAATTTGGATGGTTAGATGGATGAATGTACAAGCTACTCAATGATATTTAATGAATGTTATAAACGCGAAAGTTTGTGAGTATGGAAGAATGGTTGTATGTTTGTTAATCTTTAACACAGAAACTACTGGATGGATTTTAAACAATATATATCAGAATAACACAACTTATTAATATAATGTTATACCTAATCAAATTTCGAATAACTTGAGGTCAAATAAAGGTATTTAAAATATCATAAAATCTTTCGCAACTTCCTACTAAATGCGAAAGTCTTAGGTATTAATATTAGTAAAATTATAAATACGGAAGTTAGTGAGTGTCGATGTATTGATAGTTATTTATTATTCTTTCACGCAAAAACTACTGAACTGGTTTTGATGAAACTTTAAAGTTACACAGCTTATACCTCAATATAACATATAGACTATAATTTTTGCGAGTGTGAAACCGCGAGCACATCTACTATAAACGCGAAAGTTTGTGAGTATGGATGTTTGTTAGTAGATCTTTCACGAAGATAAATAGATGATGATGATAAACCGGTGAGCAGAGCTTGATAGAAAACACCCAGACTGATATATACAATCATATTCATGAATACAAATATTTGCACCGTGCGAGAAATCGAATCCGCAACCATCGGAAATAAAGCGGTGTGCTAAACCGCTAGACTACCACGGCCGTCATGATGAATCGCTTGTAATTCTTAACTTAGACCCGACACGAGATTCTAGCGTTCACTGTTCAAATTACATAATATTTGCATCAGTTACTCAAAGTGGCCGTATGATGTTAACAGCTTCCAGTCTTTACCGCAGATGAGATGCTGGGCTGGATTTCTTGGTGCTAGTCGGTACTGGCTTTCATCTACAAGTACTTATTTGTTTACGTAAAGAATTATTTATATTTTAAGTTTTTTTTTCATTCCTTTATGTACACAACTGCAAATGTACCAAAAATGTCTACAGAATGTTGGAGGGTACTGGCTTTCGTGGCACAGGTTCACCTATATCGAAAAACAGGGCTAACTATATTTAATTGTACCGTACATTTAAGAATAAAGTTTATTATTATTATTATTTACTAGCTGACCCCGCGGACTCTGTTCCGCCTTAAAATTAAGGTTTTTTGAATTTTATTTACGCAACAAATTTCTGAACGCACCCCATTTGACAGGTATCAGCAGTTTGTATGGGAGAATAATATGGCTGTTTTTACTAATTTACATTCAATTTCTTCCTATTTTGTCACCGTTTAAACCTTCTCTGGACTTCCACGAATATTTCAAGACTAAAATTAGCCAAATCGGTTCAGCCGTTCTCGAGTTTTAGCGAGACTAACGAACAGCAATTTATTTTTATATATATACACTTCATATTTAGGTATTTTTATATATATACACTTCATATTTTCGTTACTGAAATATTTTAAAAATTCATAATTATATATGTATGTTAAAAATGTATTCCTTGAACGCGTAATATAGGTAGGAATGACACGTAAGGATATCCTTCAATTCTTAGTAAAAACTCTAAAAACGTAATTTTGTTTTGGTGCCACGCACATAATAATAATAATAACAATTTCAGGACAATTCACACAGCGCCATCTAGACCCAAGTTAAGCTAGCTAAAGCTTGTGTTATGGGTACTAGACAACTGATACATATACATAGATTTTTTTTCTCGTAAATACATATTATACATAGTAAACACCCAGACCGATACAAACAATCATACTCATGAGTACAAATGTTTGTGCCGTGCGAGGAATCGAACCCGCGACCATCGGGCGTAAAGCGCGCTAGACCACCGAGGTCGTCGTCCAGTCATTAGTCCAGTAAAATATTAAATTAAATCGTGATGTGACCAGTTTTGGCGCAATATATGAAAATAAGTCCGCACATACGTGAATTCAGAAATTCAGAAAGAAATTTTGATTTCAGTTGACGGGAAAGGGAAGAAAAAAAATAAAAAAGCGTTAAAAACGCCTTTTTTCAAAATAACTCGATAGTGGTAAGAAAAAAAAAAATATTTTAAATAAAAGTTGGAGAGAAAAAAATTCTGCACAGAACAGGTTCTCTTCATTTTTTCATTATCTGCTGTTGTTTAGCCACTAAAATTGAACAACTGAAAATCAGTATTGAAACACAGTTCCTACCATCTGAGTTGTGGTCCACAATGACTCTGTGTTATAATGTGTGTAAATTGTTGTTTAAGTGATTATTGTTATATACACGAGTCAATGATTTCTATTCTATTCTATAATTAATCAGGAAATAGGGCTATAATTACAAAATTATATTCTATTCGCGTTAGCTCTTGAACTATTCTGAAACACTAATTGTATGACTTGTTGCACTGTGACTATAATTACTTGTTCATTACAAATGAGATGACTTTAATCTCCTTTAATCGACACCAATGATTTATTTACTAGCTGTTACACGCGATTTCATCCGCGTGGAATTTAGCTTTTTCATAATTAAACAACAATTAAAGAAACCTTTAAGCAGCGTTCGGGAAGCTCCGATATATCTTTCGTCCAAACGTGCAGACGTGGTCGCTAACTATGGGCCCCATCAACAAGCTCAGAGTCACTCAGAGGGCAATGGGGAGGGCTATGCTCGAAGTTACTCTGCGTGATCGAATCAGAAATGAGGAGATCCGTAGAAGAACCAGAGTGACCGACATAGCCATACATAGACATAGTAGGACAGATGGCCGTTGGGCAGTAAAGTTCTCGAGTGGCGACCACGGACCGGAAGACGCAGCGTGGGAAGGCATCTAGCAAGGTGGACCGACGATCTGGTCAAGATCGCTGGAAGGCATTGGATGCGAGCAGCGTAGGACTAATCGTCGTGGAGATCTTTGGGGGAAGCCTATGTCCAGCAGTGGACGTCTTCCGGGCTGCGATGATGATGAAAGAAACCTAAGTTACTCCTTTATAACATTAGCTATCTGCGAGTTCAAGTCTTTTAATAATCAAAAATTTTAACCATACCATATATTATTTCATACGCATTTATTGAAAAGCAGAAATTTGATATTACAAACAAATTTCAATTTTATTTATTTAATAACATCAGGTAAAACTTTGGGGGATCTTTGGGGGAGGCCTAGTCCAGCAGTGGACGTCTTCCAGGCTGCGATGATGATGATGATGATGATCAGGTAAAACTGTTCACTTAACATCAGGTAAATCAGGTAACTGGTAACCGTCACCTATATACAGAATGAGCATCACGATATCATGTCATCATGTTTTCACTGTTTTATACCTTTATACCGAAACAGATAACGAAAATATTAAAATTTTTTTAATAAGTTTGCATTGTGTTACTTAAGATAATAAAATTAAATTGAAATATGTTATTTAGATTGCAATAAGATTAAAAAAACACACAACAATTTGGTGAATCTTAATATTTTTAATAATAAATTATAAAAATAATAAAATAAATTAAACCTTAAGATGTAATTGAGCATTACAATAAAAAATTGTAAAAAATTATGATAGTCGAGATTATTATCTACTACTTTATAAATTTACATACTTACATCTAATCCACTTATATCTTTCAACCGACTAAAAGCAATGAGAGGCAATATAAGATTTTGGTCTACACGCATAATAAAATGATTTTTTTTACACATATCTTCATGAGTAATGTTTGATTGAAATTAAACTTAGTCCGAATTCACTGGATAATGTGGTTATAGTTAACTCATACATATCTTCTAATGCAGACAGACCCGAAGTCCCATAAAGTTCTATAATTATACGTTGAAGAGTACATCTCTTATAGCAGTTACACTTTACTATAATTTCAACAAATTTGTTGTTGTTGTCTTATTTATACACAAATTCATTATATTACATTATCATTAGACACCTTTACAATCTCCCAGTCTTCCTTAGCGGATATCTTTACAAGCTCTTTCGATTTTTCCCACAATCTCCTATTCAATTCTTCATCTTTCGCATACCAGTTTGTGTAGAATTCTGAGCAAGATCTAAAGTGTTTACCGTTGTATTTGTCTAATTCCGGATCGATTGCCAAATAAAGTGGAGCTTTAGCAGCTGTAGCTGTCGGTTGACCAATCAGATGCAGAGCAGAGTTTAGTATCTTCTTCAAAATTTCATTGTCCAGATATCTGAAGAAATCAGTCTGTATTAATCCTGGATCTAAACTATAAAAACTTACGCCACTTCCAACTGTTCTTTTGCTCATTTCCACAGCAAATAAAATATTTGCTAACTTCGCGTTGGAGTATAATTCAAAACTAGAATATACATTAACATCATTCAAGTGATCTGGATTGACGTGTCCCAACGCTGATGCTAAAGATGATATATTTATCACTCTACTAGGAGCCGATGATTTCAAAAGAGGAAATAGAAGATAAGTTAATAGAAATGCTCCAAAATAGTTTACTTGCATCATTGAATTAAGATTGTCCTGCGTTAATTTATCTTCTATGCCTATAGCTCCAACATTGTTTATTAATATGTCTAATTTTGGCTGTGTCGCTATAGTGTCAGTCACAAAAGATCGTATTGAAGTTAAATTCCCGTAATCCACTTGTTTGCCAACTATATCCTTGTTTGTAGAATATTTGTTGATCTCGTCAACTGCTTTGTCCAATTTAGTTTTCGTTCGACCTGTTATTATAACTTTGGCGCCGCGGCTGGCCAAATATTTGGCTGTTTCCATGCCCAAACCTGATGTTCCACCGGTCACTATGGCCACTTTTCCTTCCGATTTCGCGTTCGTCCCACATTTGCTGAACACGTCAAGTAATGACATTGTCACACTTTAAAACTTCTGCCCATCTGTCTGCAAGGCTCTGATGACTTTTGTTGTTTGAGAAAATATTCTGAGATTTGTTTATTTATGATGATTCTGCTGTACCTCAAGGGTTATTCTATACTAATTGAAGACTCAATGTCAAATGTTAACATTTTTATTAAATTAATGATAAACATGCAGTCATGCTAATGGGATGACCCTCAAGCTATGATTATGAATAATGAGACACAACCAAGAACCGATTTGACTCGACTAGGAAGTAATAATAGTAATAACAATAGCCCAGGGCAATCGAAACGATTTCTATATGTACTAAACAATTGGTAGAAATACTTTTTTTTTCTAAATGTATTAATATTATAATTCTTAACAATAATTATTATAATTTACCTATGAAATTATTAAAATGACAGTGGAAATATATTGCTTGCAAATTACTGGCGTATTTCAATTTCGTTTATATATTCGTGCGCTCGAAATTATACTTTCTTTTTATTAAATAAATATTCTAATACGAAAGTACTCCTTATAACATTGGCTATCTGCGAGTGGAAATCCCGTCAAAAACACTACAGCCGTTTCAGAGATTTCTTAAAACACCCAGACATTTTTTTCACATTAAATTTTGACGTAATCACCGTATATACTTACAAATGCATTTAGTGAAAAGCTGTTAATTTGAAATTACAGACACTCTAATATTATTCATTTTTATAATTTTTAAGGGCTTTATTCACTACATATTGAGAATTATCCTACAAACAATTTCTAACTCGTTTGACTGCATGTTTCAGAACGGGTTTGGAAGTTTCCTGTTCTGCGGATACAGTTAGAACTAAATAAGAGCAACACCGCATCTATTGTTTGTTCACGGCAGTATGCGGTAAAAAAGCAAATAATAAAAAACGCAATAAGAAAGATAAATAAAGAGAAATTTCTGCGCACATTTAATAATTAATTAATATCTTATCTAGGTTAGGTCACCAAGGTGTCACTTATTTTAGTCGCTAAGCAGCTTTTGTTTTGTATTGTAAAGTTTGTATTGGTCTAAGTTTTATGTGCGTATATTAAGTTAAAAAAAAGTATTTGTATATCACTAGACAGCCGAGAAAAATACTTTTTTTACTTTTGTTATGGGTACAAACCTAAGCTCCATAACACAAGCTCTACTTATCATTACTGGAATATACTCTTGCAAAATTATATCCTGATTCAATTCAACACAGGACGTAACTAACCTAGACTGTAATATTTTAATATTATCAAAGGTTTATTTTACAGAAAAAGTATTTATATATAGGTAATATTTATAGTAAACCTAATTGATCAATAAAATTACAAAAACTAAAGTTATTATATTATTTTGACTGTGATGCTTCTGACAATATTGACGTTTTTTTGCTTTAAGCTCGTGACCTATTTTCCCAATCTTCTTCGGTAGTAATTCTCACCAGTTTTTTGGATAAATTCCACAATTTTTGTCGCAGTTTCTCATCATGTGTCAACCAATGATTGAATATTACATGACAAAATTTGAAATTCCGACCGCTCACTCCCCTCAATTCCGGACTAGTTGCTAAATATGCCATTTCATTGCCTGCTTCCTTTCTTGTCCGTCCCACAATGTTGACAAAAACACGTGATATTTCTGCTACAACGGTATCTACATTATTAAGGATATCTGTGTTTCGAACAAGGAAAGGGTCCATACCGTTTGCAGTAATGCCTGTACCTCTGACTCGTTTATCTAACTCGACCATGAACATAGCATCAGCTAGTTTGGAGTTCGCTAAAGATTTCACTGCGTTGTACCGTCCAATATCATTCCAGTGATCGAAATCTGCTGTCCCAACAAACATTGCGGAGGCTGTACTTATAATAACTCTGCTAGGTGCTGACACTTTCAACATAGGGAGTAGTAGAAAGGTAAGTAGAAAAGCTCCGAAATAGTTAACTTGCATTGTTAGATTCAAACCATCTTCAGTCAATCGATCCGGTAATCCAACAGCTCCGGCATTGTTTATCAAAACGTCTATTCTTTCTTCTAACTGTAAGGTTTCATTAACAAATTTCCTGACTGACTTCAATGAAGCTAAATCTATAGTTCTGTAATCGATGTTATTGTTATTTGTAGCTTCGACGATTCTTTTCTTCGCTTCTTTCATTTTTGTTTCATTCCTACTTGCGATTATGACTCTTGCTCCGTTTTCGGCTAAGATTTTAGCTGCCTCATAACCAATTCCAGCGCTGCCGCCGGTCACAATCACCACTTTTCCATGGAGTCTTGCATTGTTTCGACAAAACATTTTACAAGTTACTGAATACAAAGCAACATCGTGAAATGAAGGCTGACGAGATACTAAAAGGCTCCAATACCAGGAAAACAAAGGCATTTACGATGTAGTAGGTTATTATTGTTTTTGTCACAAACAAAAAAGGATTTGTTTCTACTACCGACTCTCGAATAATTGACGTTGCTATATTTGGATAGCGAACAATAGAATAAAAGTAATCTATATATATTCCACCTAATCACTCTTGTATAGTCATTTCTTTATAGAGTCGGTGTTCGGAATAGCAAGAAATGAGGTTCTTGTTTTTAGCAAAAAACCTTATAGTTACATGTTTCATGCATAATGAGGTTACAACAATACAGAAATTATTATAATACTAGCGTTATAACTCACCGTATTACTTTCGATGGTCGCGGGTTCGATTCCTCGGATGGTATAAACATTTGTATTCATCAGGATGGTTGTTTGTATCGATCACAGAAAAGTACATTTCTGTATTTATTAAAATAAATAGTATTTATTAAAAATAACAGAAATGTATCGATACAAACACCCATCCTGATGAATAGTATTTATATCAGTCGTCTTGAAGTCGTCACAATAGGAAAGGGATAAATTGGATGCTTTTGATGTATTGTGTTCGTGATGGATGGAATGAATTACTTAGTTGGAAGGATAAAATAAGAAACTTAGTACAGCCACAGATAACATACAGCAAAGAGACAGTTCAAAAATATTATTGAAAAATAGTATTTTAATATTATTAGCTTATCGTGACAAATTCATCAGGAATTTATCATGATGGTTTCCAGGGGGAACCGCGTGGTCAACAGTCCACACTGCCTTCCCCTAACGTTACATTATCAGCTTCAGTCCGCACGAACTGCGCCAATAACGTTCATTATTGACACAGCCTAGCCTTACACAGGACAATGACAGCTAGACTATACTAATATAAATTCCAAAGTTGCCTTGTCTGTATTTTTGTTACCTTAATAAGGATATTTGTAGACTGTATCTAATGGGCATACGCTATCATTGAAATAAAAAAATAGTCGTCGAACTCGAAGTCGTGAGTAACAAGTCACACAATTTATGAAACCGAGAACTCGTAGTAATGGAGTCGTTTTAATAGAATTTACTTGCATGACACTGTGCGTGCACTGCATTGTAACAGCAAGTAAGTAGGATGAGTCATATTCTCAGTATAACTTATTTCTTTGTGGAATTATTTACATTTTAAGCTTAAGAAACAATGTATAATGTTGGATAATGAATGAATGAGAACTACTTATTGTTCTTCACAGAGAAAAAAAAACAATTACATAAATTTATATACACGTAAATATATTTTTTTTATTTAAAAATAAAATTATTTTCGCGCCAATAACAAAGAGTAGTGATTTCGTGTACTTTGATTTCTTCCAGTCAACCATTGAGAGACTGAGAGGTGGAAATAGGTACAATAAATAATACGCGTCACTATGTAATATATAAGAAATATATGTAAACTAGCTTTTGCCCGCGGCTTCGCTCGCGTTAAGAAGTATTATTATTAATTAGGTATAGTTTTTGCGGCTTTACTTTTGTTTAGCGTGTGTAAAAAATTAGGGCCTACAAAACTTCTTTGTACACAATATTCTTAACTAATCTGTCATTAGGCGCTAAAACTATCGAGCTATTGGGTGAACTTACTCGTGAGCAAGCAACATAAAACTGTCCATGAGAGAAGCATTGTTCTCTCAAGTCAATACCCGCAAATTTGAGTTTGCCCCTACTTTATCCCCTTAGGAGTGGAATTTATCAGAATCCTTTCTTAGAGGATGCCTACGTCATAGTAGCTTTATGCATTCCAAATTTCAGCCCGATCCGTCCATTGGTTTGGGCTGTGCGTTGATAGATCACTATGTCAGTCAGTCAGTCACGTTTGAATTATATATATTTAGATTAATATAGTACATAAGTAATAATTTTAATTAGGGTACATTCAACTTTCTTCTATTATTAATCCTTATCGTTCCTAATATTATAAATGCGAAAGTAACTCTGTCTGCCCGTTTATCTTGCTTTCACATTTTATACACAGATAGTCTAGACCCTGAGAAAGGACATAGGCTACTTATTAATCCGAAAAAAAATCTCCACTTTCAACCCTTGTAAGGGGTTGAAACAGATGAAGGGTTGTATGGAATTATCGTCATTTTTAAAACTAGGAGCTTGAAACTTACTTTTTAGGCTGTTGATTAAATATTAATAAATATGACATTCAAAATTTCTAAAAGTGTTACCCTTAAGGGGGTAAAATATTATGGGGGTGAAACTTTTCTTTGCCTTTTTTGGGTTTGATTATTGAATATTTTTTTCTTTATTTAGTCAAGTTTACTACAACATGCGGACGTAGTCGCGGGCACAGCTAGTGCCATTTTTATGTGATATTTTCTTATTATTCCTTTATTCTTATTAAACACTATTGTACAATAAATTAACACAACATATGATATTTCATAGACTGGAAAAACAGAACAACATTCTCAATACAGAATAATTTATGGGACAGTTCTACACAATGTTACCATTCTAAAAAGTATGGATTGCTATTTCAGCAAATAAGAATATATCTACTTATATGTATATATTGATCCACAGACTAGCAATGACACAGAGGTAGACTATCTAAAAGTCATCTATGTACATATATACCTCAATCTCACATATTTGAATCACCAAACAGCTTCTATGACGGAGTTGCGGGTAGAGTGCCCGTAAACGACGGAGTTGATCTTTGGTGAAGACTGCGAGTCTTCATACCGTAAACTTGCACTTGATGTGATGGCAGGAGGTCGTCCGCCCAGTGTGAGATCGAAAAATAAAATACAGGGAGCCTCTGTGTTTTTTTTATGGATGATAATGGAATGGTGCACCCGCCTGCGCTATCGGTTTACGCTGGCGGGGCACCAGTGGAGGATGATAGTATGAGCATGAGGTCAGGTCAGTTAGCCCATTGTGACAAATTTACCAAGAATTTATCACGATGGTTTCCAGGGGGAACCGCGTGGAGGTCAACCTGACATGGTACATTGCTAGCAATAGGATCTTCAGTCCACATTACTAACAATCCCCTTTCCCCCATTAGGGGGCCCTGTATATATTACAAACGAGAGGATAATGATTTCCTTGTGGTCGCTGTATTTGTTGATGACTTTTTTATTCTATGTACAAATGACAGGATGAAAAACGAATTTAAAAACCAACTGAAACAGCAGTTTACCATCAAAGATCTTGGTCCACTCAAGGGTTCGTCCGGGGCTGCGAGGAGACAACCTCTATAAAAAACGTCTGGCGGTCGACGAGGAGGACGTCGTCCGGTCGAGGAGCGCCCGCAGACGACGGAGTCGACACGGCGAGAAGGCTGGGCAACACTCGAGGAGGCAACACTACCGATACCTACGGTTTAACATACAAACGCATGTAAGCTATGTTTCAGCTGAACAGTCGATACAAAAATGAAATTAGAGTATTGGAGAAATGACATCTCACTTATCCGAAATAACAGAGCATGATAAAGTAGTATCACGGGCATGATAACGTGATAACTGTAGTGCTGTTCATGTATATGCGACAGTTACCGATTCGCATTAGCTTGTTTGCTATTCAAATGACATAAAAAATATATAATTTCTTTATTAGTTGGCTCATTTTCTGCACTATTGCTTTTCTATAGCTGCCTTTACACGTACGATTTTTACGCGCGAATTGGCCTTCACGAGGGAATGAGTATAAATGTAAATGTGAACAAAGAGAACGAAAAAGACTATGCGCGCTGCCATTGCTACCCGTAACCGTACATGTTTTAGCGTCTTTTTGTAATATTTAATTATCATTTCAAAATGGCGGACATCTAATTATGAAGCAAAGACAATTATATAGTTATTGATAATTTTTAAATCTTAAACGTGACATTGGAAAATATAATCTGTGGAATACACGAACACGTACGTCGCCAGCTCGCGCGTCCTTAAATTCTGCATGTTTTAGCGCCTTTCTATAATATTTAATTATAATTTCAAAATGGCGGACATCTAACTATGAAGCAAAGACTATTATAGAGTTATTGATAATTTATAAATCTTAAACGTGTCTGATGTAAATAAAATCTGTGGAATAAAAAAATGAATTAAAAAAAGAAAGTGACACGAAACATACACGCCTACGCGCGCGGAAGTCAAGGTTGCTCGCGCTGGTTTCCCGCGCCTTGTAAAGGCAGCATAGAGTATATATGCACAGAGAACCCTAAAAACATGATTATTAACAATGATAACATCTACATGAGATTTGTGAGCGGTGTAATTACGAATAGATTAGTAGATTATTTGTTTTTAAACAATCCGAGCAATGGCTAAACGTGAGTTTGTTAGTTCAACCTAAAATAGTTCCTATACGAGATAATGGCGAATTTCTGTATATGTGTCAGTTTAATCATTCTTTTTTCTTTCGATTGTAATTGTGTAAGTATACTTCATATATGAGGTAGAATGTCGACTACGAAAAAATAAGAGGTGCCCATTTTTTCGAACTACTCTAATGCTGGCCACAGCTGGCTTTTACAACTTCACCGAACGATAGGGGCGAGTGCAGATAGCACTCAAAACCCGCGGAAGGACTTACGGAGCGGCTGAAGGCCAACTCTTGCCTAGCGGATACGACTTTAGTCAGAGGGCACCGCTAGGGATTAGAACCTCGGCTCGGGCCGTCGTAATTTCGATTCCCGTTTGAAATGGGCGGTTGAAGCAGACCTGGTTTCCTAACGACCTTTTATGTAAATAAGGGTGGTAAAGCACTAGACCATGATGCCCTAATTTTTTTTTTCGCTGAACAACACGTGCTAAGCAAAGCTATATTAGTACTCATAGTACTAGATAACTGATATAAATACTATTTTTTTTTGTAAATACATAATATACATAGAAAACATCCAGACTGATACAAACAATTATACTCATAAATATAATTATGTTTTTACCGTGCGAGGAGTCGAGATAGTCCAGACCCTAAGGATATAGGCTACTTTTTAATGCAAAAAACAGAATGTAAGGGGTTGAAATGGGAGATTAATGTTCGTATGTCATTTTTTAAACTAGAGGCTTGAAATTTATTTTTTTAGCTGTTGATTTAATATAAATAATTGTAACAATCAAAGTTTGTACACTTTTGCCCTTAACTGGGTAAAATAAATTAGATAAGAATAATAATCTTAGGACAATTCACACAGCGCCATCTAGACCCAAGTTAAGCTATCTAAAGCTTGTGTTACGGGTACTAGATAACTGATACAAGTACATAGATATTTTTTTGTTTTCGTAAATACATACATAATATACATAGAAAATCACCCAGACCGATACAAACAATCATACTCATGAATACAAATGTTTGTGCCCTGCGAGGAGTCGAACCTGCAACCATCAAAAATAAAACGGTGTGCTAAACCACTGAACCATCGAGATCGTCAATATATGTAGTTATAAATATTTTCATGTTTATATTATGTAGGACATTGCAGCCGCTTATGAAAGTCAAGTTTTTTATATTATACTAGCTTTTGCCCGCGGCTTCGCTTGCGTTAATTTATTTCCTTAGAGGTGGAATTTATTAAAATTCTTTCTTGCCTACGTCATATCAGCTTTATGCATGCAAAGTCTCAGCCCGATCGGTTTAAAATTGACAAAGTTTCATCCAAACTTTCATCCCCTATTTTATCCCATTTGGGGTAGAATTAATCAAAATCCTTTCTTAACGTATGCCTGCGTCATAACATCTACCTGCATGGCAAATTTCAGCCCGATCCGTCCAGTGGTTTGGGCTGTGCGTTGATAGATCACTATGTCAGTCCAGTCACCTTTGAGTTATATATATGTATTTAGATTTTTTCCCGTCCAGTTCGGTATACTGACTGACTGACAGATTCAATTGAAAAAAACTGGCAAGAAACACAACTAAATTTCTTTTCTTTTGAAAGCCAGTTTATTTACTATTAGTATCTGTAAGTTTAGTTTAATTTTATTGAAAGGAAGAATAGAATAGAATAGAAAATCATTTATTCAAATGAACTTAATTTAAGCACTTTTGAATAGTCATAACAATTTGTTTTTTATCTACCACTCGTTTGGAAAGTTGTCTCATCACAAGAAGAACGAGCAAGAAACTTGTGTGTTGCTCTTTTAAATAATCCTTGTAAGTTTACATTTACAAGTTGAAACGTGTGAATACAAATTACCAACCAGCACTTTTTGGGTCAAATATAAATATACAATAAGATTAAATCAGTCGTAGTGATAAGAGCAGACAAGTCAAGCACCCGTTCACGAGTATGACGGATGAGCCAGCCATCACTGCACTCGACCATATTTTAGGGAAGAGAAAAACATATTACGCCCACTCCAAATAAATGAGATAAGGAAGAAGCAGATGATGATGATGAAGTTTAATTCAATGTTACAGATCACTGTAAAACAAGAACGCGCTGTGGTGAAATATTACAACAAGGAACATATACGTTACGCACAGGCTTTCACGGGCAGATCCAGCAGGCGAGAGCCTTATAAAACCAACATCACAGCAGTTATTTTACATCCGTGGAATAACAATGTCACTGTATGTATATATTTCTTTAATTTATTTTGTCCATTCTTGTAAAGTGCCCACGTGTGATCACCCGGTCCTAACGTGTAAGTTTACTTTCGTTGCGGAGTGATCTACCGGTGGGCAAGCGGTTGGGCATTAATGTGTTAAAAAAATATTATGCACATTAACTCTGGGTTAGACAGTCTAGGCAGTCTTGTCTTGTTTAATTATAAAATATAATAGTTTAAATAATAAAATCTTTATTATATATAAAAACCCACGCAATTAAACAATTACGAAAATTTTCCAACCAAACTTACCGAAAATCGCCAAAATGTTGATTTTATAGAACAACTGGCTGATCCGACCAATACTGTTGTGCCACATAAATTAATATCGCTGTTAAAGATAGAGGTCGAGGGTAGAAGGATGGAAATTTAGGGTTCTACGTATTATTAAATGACTAAATAAAATTAAACTTTTGTCCAGGAAATTAAAAAAAAGTGATGGATCACTTAAGGGTGTGAAAAATAGTTTACGTCTCAGACGTACTGAATATATACACAAAATTTCATAGGAATCGGTTTTGTTACATATACTGTGACACGAGAATTTTATATATTAGATTGCACACATTATAGTCTCCATGTTCGAGATGAGTTTTCCAATATCAGAGATCAGAGCGGAGAGAGAGGGAGAATCAGAGGGCTTAGGTATTTTTTTATAGCATTTGGGGCAAACGATCTTGCAGCTCATCTCATAGTAAGTGATTACCGCCCATGAGCACTCGCAACATCAGGATAAATGCAAGCGCATTGACGGCCTTTTAATAGGGAATAAGCTCTTCTTGAATGTTTCAATACCGTTAGGTTATCGAAATACCGTTGCTGGAAGGTGATTCCACAATGTGGTTGTGCGTGGCAAATAGCTTCTGAAAAACGAACTGTTAATAATAACAATAATGTTATTTTTAATGATTTAGAACCATATACAAATTCAATTACAGCTGAAAATGATTTACAAGAGTAAGCGGATGACTAACGACTTCATTATATCAGTAAGGGTGTGTGATGCACTGAATCTTAAGTGGCTATCTGATTTTTTGAGCGTATACGCAAGATATAGACTAATATGTCCATTTCCTGCTGTAAGTATAACTTAATCATACATAACAGTAATAATAAATGAAAGTTAAGAGAGATGCGTGTAGACGTTTATTATAGCAGAGCGGTGTGACGGAAATGATATAAAACAAATTGTATATAAAAGAAATCATATTTTAAATATGGATAAGAGGATATATAAAACTGCCAGTAACTCTCATTGTAGATCTAACAATACCATACATCAACATACCTATTTTTTTTATAAATTATGATAATGGTGCACCCGCTTGCGCTAACGGTTTACACTCACAGGGCATTAGTGGAGGATGATTGCACCATGAGGTCAAATTAATTAGTCCATCGTTGCAAATTCATTAGGAATTTATCATTAAGGTTTCCACATTACTAACAATCCCCTTTCACCCTTCTGTATATCTTTTTCCTTATGAGTGATAATGGAATGGTGCACCCGCTTGCGCTAATCGTTTACGCTGGCGGGGCACCAGTGGAGGATGATATTATGAGCATGAGGTCAGATCAGTTAGAGCATCGTTTCAAATTCATTAGGAATTTTTCTCGATGGTTTCCAGGGTAAACTGCGTGGAAGTCAACTTGACTTGGTACTTTGCTAGCAATGGGATCATTAGCCTAAATTACTAATAATACCCTTCTATATATGTTATGTATCTATTTATTTTATACAGTAGTCTAGCACATAAAATACAAGCTCTGCTTACCTTGGGACTAGCTTTGTGTTACTTGTCCAAGGGTTATTATCATTACTAAGAATTTAATCATTAATAAAGGGGCTATTAATGCCAGTTAATTTTACAGGGTGAATACAATTTAGAGAACATTGAACTGCCGCCGAAACATCTGCCTGTACAATTGTTCACAAGCGAGGGACAATTGGAAATAAATTTTTCCCTCACGAAAACCAAACAGATCATATTAGTGGTGACCATACAGATACAAATGTTATAACACATCACATATTAATTATCAGTTCGAAATTTATGTAAACATATTAAAAAAATAAAAATTAAGTCAAAAGCCTAAAATTTAATATCTAGTATATCGTATCCCAGATCCCGAAAAAGAGATGGACTTGTTTCACACAACAAGATATGGTAAGAAAAGGAGTAACTAACGAGGTGACTGCGAACATGGATGACTGGAAGAGAAAAACATATTACGCCGACCCCAAATAAATAGGATAAGGAAGAAGAAGATGATGATGATGATGAGCGTATCCCAGATCCCCTAAAACTTAATAGTAACTTAAAAGTAAATTTTCAGCAAGCATAGTGCAATAGGTCAACTGAAGTCTTTATCTATACTAATATTATTTTATAGTTTGGAAAAGTGTGTTTGTTTGTATTGAATAGGCTCCGAAACTACTGGACCGATTAGAAAAATTATTTCGCCATTAGGAAGCTACACTCTCCCTGAGTGTCATAGGCTATATTATATTTCCAAAAAATTTGGGATCCTTGCTAATACTCCAATAATGTAACCCAAGGTATAAAAAATTATTACTAAAACTATTGATGATAGAACAAAATGATGTACTACGACTTTGTAGAGCACATTATTATCTACAAAAAGTGTCGCGACGGCATGTGTAACTATTATAGTTACGTCACAATAAGTGTTCTTTTAATGTATAATTTTAATTGAAATGTCGCCGCTAGAAGAGCCTCTTTATTTTGTATCTTAGTATTAATCCTTATCAAAATAAATTACCTCATATTAACAACTGCTTCAATACCTGTACGTAAGTTTTTGAATTATTCAATTCGAACATTCGGATGCTCGCATTTAGTAGTAGGGGCGTCAGTGGGGTACGGGAAGATAGAGATAGCAGTTGCATCATCAGGATTTGCTGAAACTCTCTTAAAGGATGGAAAAACTGTTTATTCTACTTTTAAACTTCCGCTATCCGTAAATCTTGAGCAACTATGTTCTATCCACAAAACTGGGCCTCTTGATACTTTTGGCGGGATTACTTTTGTATTTGCTGGCGATTTTCCACAGACTCTCCCTGTCATTAACATCGTCTCCCTTATGGACTTTAATTGATAGTTTAAAATTACGGACGAATATGAGAGCTCATCTTCATGGAAACACAGATAGTGATTTCCTAAAACAACTGCTCAACCTTGGGGAAGGAATTTTTCCCACTGCAAATTTAAACCGAAATTGTGATATCTTTCTGGATGAGTCCTTAGGTCAAATCATCCATAATTTAGAAATTTTGATAGATGTTGTATACCCTGACATTAAGAATTTGCACGAAAAAGGCTTTCATTGGTTGTGTTCTAGGGCAATAGTGTTATATAGTGTTACCTAGGAATGATACTGTCAACGAAATAATCTGATTATTCAAAAAGTTTCCGGCCAAATAAAAAATTACAAATCAATCGACACCGTGACTAATATCGAAGACGCAGTTCATTATCCACAGGAATTTTTACTAAACCCTTCTGAACTGCCACCATACGATTTGACGACAAAAACCGGAATTTCTCAAAAAATTTAAGTCCACCGACCATGTGCAATGGGACTATGCTTACTAAGGAATTGAAGGACAATTTAATGTAGCAACCATTACCACCGGCTCGGCAGCTGGGCATCTGGCATCTATGTAATAGGACCTATGTATGTTTTGATCTTAAAAAACTACGCGGATTTTGATGAGTTTTTATTTAATAGACAAAATAGTAGACTGAGCACGGATCTATAAACGCGCGATAACCAATATATCCTATGTTCACGCGGGCAAAGCCGCAGGCGGATAGCTAGTGGTCAATACAGTAATAATTATCTACGGAATAGTAACACTTATTCAATAAAAATGTCCTCAATCTAGTTTTAAACAATGTAAAACTAATTTCTGATTCAATTGGTAAATCTTACCAATATTATAAATGCGAAAGTTTGTGAGTATGGATGAATGTTTGTTACTGTTTTATGCAAGAACTACTGAACGGGTTCTGACGAAATACTGTAATATACATAGCTTATACATCAGAATAACATATAGGCAATAAATTTCGCGCGAGTGAAACTGTGGGCACAACTTGTATTTAATAAAGAAACTAACAAACATATTTTGTAATATTAGTAATACAAATTCTTTACTTTTCCATATATTACTTAAATTAAAGCTTATATATTTCATTGTATATATTTATAAAATAGACTGTAATAAAAAGCAACAAAAATAATAGAACTATAATAAAGTAATATTTATTGTTAAACATTTGATTTTTTTATGATGTCGACTGCTTTCTCCGCCATAGCTACAAGTACGGAATTAGGATATAACGATATTGGTGATGGCAACACACTCGCGTCCATTATACGAACACCCTTCACTGATTTTACTCTGAAAAAAAAAAGAGTTGTTTTATTTTTTTATTTTTTGCAAAGGGAACTTAGCTCATACAGAAAAAAATTAAATTAATTTTACAAGACCTAAAAAGTATTATTACTTGTTTATAGTACATTTATGTAGCACAATTTTAGCGTAAATGCTTGCTATTTAGACAGTATACCACAATGATTTTACCGTAAGCAGCGTGCTATGCGAATTTATGAATCTGTGGTGCATTTCGTTTGCGCGGGAAAATAAAAAATACTACTTCTGCAGACATATTGTTTTGTTGTTCTTCATTGTTAATTATCCTACTTAATCTTAATATTAATTTATAATTTATATGTACGTGTGTTTATCACTTAGCCTCTCCAAAACGGCTGGACCGATTTTGATGATATTTTGTGTGTACAATGGGGTTTGAAAACACAATTGAACCTAATAATTGGCGCTGCTTTTTAGGCAGAACTATGTCTTCCATATCCTCTAGTTGTATATACAAATTTACATCCATAACTAATACTGCATTATACTGTTGAATACTTAATCTTCGCTATAACTATATGAACATGTGTAGACAAATTAATGCTTTTATTTATTTAAGTAGTTAACATTAATGCAAAATCATGAAAAGTTAATGATTTTTGCCCTAACATCATCACCTTAATTCATCACCAACCACATGGCCTCTGGCATAGCTGCCACCTACATAATATCCTGTCAGCGGAATCTCTCTTATGATTCATTCCAGATACTTGTCGCGTACAAGCAGCAACAAAACGCAACGCAAAAGGAGCGTTCTGATTGGAGCGCACACCCATCCAATTTAAATTCGCTACGTAACGTAACATACTTTAAAAATTAACCGATCGGTCTAACGTACAATTTGTTCTCTCATCGTAATTTGTAATTTATAATAGTATTAACCAATTAAATTCATGAAAATCTAGCGAAATCCGTCATTTATTCACCCCGTAATCTGCTGAAGCCATCAACACCTACCATCTGAGCATTCGAGGCGCATCAACACGTACCATACTCATCAGATACCTTTAGCGCCGTTATATTTCTGGGATTTAATTCTTTAATAGTTAATCATTCTTGCCCTAGCATCATCACCTTAATTCATCATCAACCACACGACCTCCGGCACAGGTGCCACCAACGTGATGTCCAGTCACAGCAACCTCCCTGATGATGCACTCCAGATACTCATCAGGTGGACTTTGCATTTTTATCTTCTTGTCTTTATTTTCTTTAATAATTAATGATTCTTGATTTTTCGATTTGTTTGTAAGGAATTTGAATCTGAAATATAATTTTGTATAATCTATATTAGTTATAATGAGTTTTTTAAAATCGAAAATTGACTGTGTCTTTGAGTGTTTTTTTTTTAAACTGTAAAGGCAAGGTCATGTAATCTGAAGAGATAATTGTGTTTGTGTCTGAGCATTTTTTTTTGTTTTTTTTTTATTTACACAGCGCCATCTAGTTCCAAGTTAAGCTAGCTAAAGCTTGTGTTATCGGTACTAGATATCTGATACAAATACATAGATATTTCGTAAATACATACATATTATACATAGATAACACCCAGACCGATACAATCATACTATATAAATGTTTGTGCCGTGCGAGGAATTGAACCCACGATCATCGGATGTAAAGCGATGTGCCACCGAGGTCGTCAATTTTTTTTATATTTAAAAGCACCCAACTGCGCTAGTAGGGTAACTGTATTAACTCGTAAGATGAGCAATTTACACCTAAAGGTATTAAGTTCAAATCTGCCCGGTACCAAATAACTTTATATGTAAATTTCTATTACTGACTCCCCGATCATAGACACAAATAATAAACCAAATGAATTCCAAAGACCGATTGTGGGCATGTCAAATATTGCGTTCACCACGACGTCGACAGTTGTTAACACAACACAACACAAGTTTTTTTCTAAGTCAATTGTGTCCTTTTATTTATAATATTATTGTACAATAAAGTATTACAAACAAACAAACAAACAAGTTTACACCTCCGACTATCTCACCTAACAATAATAATAGGTAATAATAGGTGATAATAAATTCAGCATCACAATACAGAGTAAAAATATAGATAACTTTAAAACTAATATCGCGCTATGAGCTGAAAGGGCCTCCACTCAGCTGGTGCCGCAGCGTGTCACTGCAGCGCTGACTTTCAGTGGAGCCACTTGAAAAAAGTAATAGCATTCTTGAAGATGATATTATTGATTTTAATTCTTGCTTCTCAATACATTTATGAAAATATCATCTATGCCAGAAGGAATATAGACAGTTTCAAAAGAGTTAGTGATTGCACTAATAAAAGCTTACGTAACAATAACAAACTGATTTTACCTAAATGTCGTTTGGCTAAAGTTAGTAATTCGTTTTATGGCAATTGCGTAAGGTTTTACAATAATAATTTAAATGTCAAATAAAACAGTTCCTTTGCAAAAAAGCTTACTATAAAATTGAAGAATTCGTTAACGATAATAATGTTTTTATAGAAAAACTTTAAATCCATAACACTGACAATATTATCTGATTACATTAATAATGAGTGCGTAGCGACTTCTATGTTGATTATCGCATGCCTCTTACTTGTTATACTGTAATTATTTATATAAAAAAACATATATTAAAAAGAGCAACACACAAGTTTCTTGCTCATTCTTCTTGTGATGAATCTGCATTCCGAATGAGTGGTAGAATCAAAATATGACTATTCAAAAGTGCTTGTAATGAGTTTATTTGAATAAAGATTATTTCTTTTTCTATTTCTATTTTAAATATATAAAATGAAAAGTCAGTTAATGTGTAATCAATGGAAGAAAAATATATAAGGATAAAATTACGAATTGTTGAATTAAAGACTTAATTGTGTGATATACTATGAATAATATGAATGTATCTGGTCAAGGTCGCTGGAAGACATTGGATGCGAGCAGCGTGGAGATCTTTGGGGGAGGCCTATGTCCAGCAGTGGACGTGTTCCGGGCTGCGATGATGCTGATGAGATTGACAACTTACTTCTTTCGTCTAAATATACTTCCAAATTGTTCCTGCTTCGTATAATTCCAGAATGTGAGACATCTTTCCACGCGTGGCCAATGAATTCTTGCTCCGATTTCTTGAAACGCTCTTGTGGACACCATTTCTTCTATGCGACGCATTGCTAAAGTAATATGACGATGTATATTTTGTTTTAATAGATAATACATTTGTGTTCATTAATTAAATTATCATTACATATTATAAAGCAAAGTCGCTGTCGCTGTCTGTCCGTCCCTAAGTATGCTTAAATCTTTAAAACTACGCAACGGATTTTGAAGCGGTTTTTTCTAATAGATAGAGTGATTCTAGAGGAAGGTTTATATATATAATACATGTACACCCGTGCGAAGCCGGGGCTAGTAGCTAGTAATAGCATATAGTAATATCTCAGGATAATTCAACAGCGTCATATAGTCCCAAGGTAAGCAGAGCTTGTGTTATGGGTACTAGACAACTGATATAAATACTTAGATATATTTTGTAAATACATATCTAGACAAATAGAATACTTAAATATATTTTGTAAATATATATAATATACATAGATAACACTCAGACCAATATTCGTGAATACAAATGTATGTACCGTGCGAGGAATCGAATTGGAGACCATCGGAGTTAAAGCGATATGCTAAACCGCTAGACCACCGAGGCTGTCAAAAAATGTTATATCATTACATAGTATAAAATAAAGTCGCTGTCGCTGTCTATATAAGTCCCTATGTATGCTTAAATCATTAAAACTCCGCAACGGATTTTGCAGCTGTTTTTTCTTATAGATAGTGATTCAAGAGGAAGCTTTATATGTATAATACATGTACACCCGTGCGAAGCCGGGGCGAGTGACTAGATATTGTATGGAATTGATGTAATATTTATATTATATGTTTATGCATGTATTCAGTAATACTTATATACAAAAGGTTGATGAATGAATGAATGAGAAAGCAATAGAAATTCATTCATTCATCCTTGGCCCAATGACAAAGGACTTTATGATATGTGCTTGTATGTATTAATTTACCTTTAATCATACACTTAATGTCATAATATTGATGCAAGTAGTTTGGATCCACTACGGGAGGTACCGTCGTGCTAACATCTTTCACGTCGACTGTACCTCTGCTTCTAGGTTGTACGCAGGTCCCTAAAAATATGAATCCCTCTTTTCTGGTGTCATTGTGGAAAGGAAACGTATCACGGAATACCTGTGGAACATATAAGGTATATATTATGAATGATTATTTTATGTTTATTTTTAATTATCTACATGGTAAATTAAGTTTAATCTATTTCTATTTCTATTTCAAACGAGCATGCGGCTCACCTGATGGTGCCGCTTATATTGTATGAGCACCCGCAACACCAGGGGAATTGCAAGTACGTTGTCGGCCTTTTAAAAAGGAATAAGCTCTTTTCTTGAAGGTTTCAATATCGTATAGGTTCGGAAATACCATTGCTGGAAGGTGATTCCACAATGTGGTTGTGCGGGGCAAAAAGTTTCTAGAAAACCGTACTGTGGAAGACCGCCATTCATCCAGATGATCAGGATGGTATTTCAGTTTCTGGCGGGTGGTACGGTGTTGAAATTCAGCAGCTGGTATTAATCCGAACAATTCCTCAGAACACTCCCCGTGATATATGCGGTAGAAAATGCACAGAGATGCAATATCTCGCCGCAAAGCCAATGGGTCGAGTCTGTCACATAGACGTTGATAACCAATGATTCTGGCTGCTCGGTTCTGAATGCGGTCAAATGGAAGTAGCTGGTATTGTGGTGCTCCCGCCCAGAGATGAGAACAGTATTCCATATGCGGCCATATCTGCGCCTTGTATAATTGCAAGCGATGGGCCGTCGTGAAATACCGTCTCACTCTACTGAGCACACCAAGCTTTTTTGAGGCTTCCTATTCGTTTATGGTTTGATTCTCCTAAGGAGGAACGGTTGGCAACCGTACAAGGATCCTAACTTAATCAATAGCTTATCCTCAATTAACACCAAGCTTGCATTACTAGTAAGCGAAGCAAGAAATTATAAATAAGAGATGCTTAAACAAAATATTTTTATTCATATATAGGTCTATTACAGACTCTCATGATATATCAAATTTACCGTCAGTTGGAACTGCTTTTGAGCTTTGAACTGATAAGTTCGCTTTCCTTAACCAAGTTTGCTCAACCGGAAAATTTCTTCTTCATATCATTTATCTGGTTTCGTCCACTATTCTTTCGCCGTTCAGGCTATCAAACTTTGGAATGACTTACCTCTTGATATCAAAACCGCTACGAATAAAATTTCTTTTAAACATAAACTACGGGAACATTATCTCAATTTGTAACTTTTTACTACTCACTTCTATTTCTCTTTCTTTCATTATTTTTCCATTCTACTCTCTATGGTTCTGTGACTGTCAGACTATTGAGTATCTAGTATATCTTGATTTTATATATATGTGTGTATATATTTATGTAATTTATGATTGTATTCCTTAGATATATATTGTATTTATCGTTCTGTTTATATTTTGTTGCATTTTATTTATCATTTATCATATTTGCACCGCCAACATTTATTCTCTGTACCACTTATGGTTGACTGGTAGAAAATGCCGCATGGTGTTATGTCCGCCAAATGTACTTTACTATATTTTGTATATTGTGTGCATTGAAGTTAAATAAAATAAAAAAAAGTAAATCAACTCGTAGTCTTTTCAAATTAACTTGTTTAAGTTTACAATAATACAAATTCAAATTTGGGGAAAGAGTGTGACCACCAGCATACGCTATTGCAACTTTGTCAAAAGTAAATAGTCTAAACAGTGTCTGGAACCCGAACAGACCAGTCCTCACAAGCAGCACCCGTTCACGAGTCTGAATATGACTTTCCACCAGACGGCATTTCTGGTACATGAAGTTTAGACGTGTAACCATGTAAGAGCTACCGTAGCATATTTAGAAGAATCTAAAGAATCTTAGGTATTTTAACTAGAATAATAGATAGTAGAAAAATTACCTTAGGTTTATAGTTAGAAAGATCTCTTAGTAACCTTTCGCTGGCAGTTCCCATCGAGAATAACATTACAGCAGATGTATTCTGGTACTCCACGCCAGCAACTGGCGGGAATGACAGCAGGCCTGCGAAATCAGTATATTAATACTATAAAAACTATGTAATTGAGGGTAGTAAACCACAAGGCCCAACCGTCTTTTTTACATTCTTCAAAAACCTGCTGATAACTGAATGAGAAATGAATGTGAATCTGAATGATGATATTGTTAGAAACCTTCACACGGTACGTCCGTTCCGTTCGCCAGCTGCTCTTATAATGCCTTTTTAGTCCGAGTCACTGTTCACAGGCCGCCATCTGGTGCCCCAATATTCTCGATAAACAGGACATAATAACAATGGAGTCTATATAATTTGTAAATATTATTAAAGAAGTAATATTAACTACGTTTATACCCTGATTTTTCCAGAAATAGCTCCATACAGTGTCAATAGTGAAGATTTTGGATAAAGTTACGCTGATCGGCTTCTTGATGCTCACAAATATGGGCATGTTCATGTGATCATGTAAGTTTCTACCGACATGCTCGTTCTCGGATACCACTTTTATCCTTAACCTGTAAATTAAATAGTAACAATATCCCTGTATAATTCACACAGCGCCATCTAGTCATAAGCTAAGCAGAGATTGTGTTGTTCATACTAAACAACTGATAGAAATACTTGTATACATTTTTTTGTAAATACATACATAATATAATATAAACTGCTTCTACCGTGCGAGGAATCGAACTCGCGACCATAGGAAGTAAAGCGGTGTATCACCGCTAGATCATAAACGCCGTCAAAACTAAATCAAATCAAAATATCTTTATTCATGAAGGTCGGTATTGGCGACACTTATGATAAGTCAGTTTGCATTTGCACTCGCCCCCTGTCATCCGGTGAAGCTGTAAAGGCCAGTTGCGGCCAACAGCATTAGAGTAGTCAGAAGAAAAAGATAGAAGTAAAAATAACACGTACCTTTGCAACGTATCTCTCGGTCCAATCCCAGATAACATCAACAACTGTGGAGATTTTATAGCACCAGCAGCTAAAATAATCTCTTTGTTAATAAAAATATTGTACAGCTGTCTATGGTTCTGTAGAATGAAAACGGAAGATGCCGTTCTGTTTTCGAAACGTATCTGTAATTACAATAAGTGAAGTTTTAGTTTTATCTAAATATATATAACTCAAAGGTGACTGACATGGTGATCTATCAACGCACAGCCCAAACCACTGGACGGATCGGGCTGAAATTTGGCATACAGGTAGATGTTATGACGTAGGTATTCGCTAAGATTTTAGAAAGGATTTTGATTAATTCTACCCCCAAGGGGATAAAATAGGGGATGAAAATTTGTATGAAACTTTGTCAATTTTAAACCGATCGGGCTGAGACTTTGCATGCATAAAGCTACTATGACGTAGGCATCCACCTAGGAAAGGTTTTTGATAAATTCCACCCCTAAGGGGATGAATTAACGCGAGCCAAACCGCGGGTAAAAGCTAGTTTCGTCTATATACAGTCTTAAGTTCTTTAATATTTCACGCCAGTTGCAAAATGCGCGGGATTTCTTCACATGATAGTTAAGTAGGAATATTATTCACACAGAAAATCAAAATCATTCATTAACTTAGGAGTTTTCGGTATCTAGTACACGTCATATTTTTTAGGATTATCGTTATCGTCCAATTAAACTAGTTACTTCAGTTGAGGAGGGGCGCATGGGCGCCTCAGATCGCCGCAAGGGCCTGAGATATCACCGCGGGGGCGGTTGCATCTCCAAGAAAAGCCCGAGAAGGTGGCCCGCGCGCTTTCGAGAGAGAGAGAGAGAGGAGGGATGGACCCCCCAAAATAAAAGCGAAGGGCCCCCAAAAAACTAAACCGGGCCGACGCCGCCGGAGTTGCGGTGGACTGACATTCGATCCCGCGACTCCGGCTAAAGGCGCTTCGTCGGGATTCCTTGGAATTTTTAGTGAGTAGGAATCTCACAGTACCCGCCTCCCCCAAGTAAAACTAAGTTACTTCAGTTGAGAAAAACTGTCAAGAAACTCAACTTTTTTTTTATTTGGATACGATACTAGAACATCTAGTATCATTTCTTTTTATGTATAGTTATGTATATAGTATCATACAAAGATACTTTTATGCTGTCGTCTTAATTTGAAAGTAAATAACAACACATTACAGCATCTGTTGTGATTTTATGTAATTTTTTAATTTCTTTGTGTGTTGCCTGTATTATCAAGTGTAGTGAGTATACAAGTGTATTTATTATACTACATTAGTGTTACTGGAGGAGCGGGAAGACAACTACTATTTTAATAAAAACTAAATACTAGTAAAAATGTGTATTTTTCCCAAAAGGGCTCACAGCGAAGAAGTAACAAAACAATTAGTTAGTCAAAAGTGACATATAAAAAATAGATATAAAAAATATAAAGTGATAAAAAGAATGGTAGACAAGCTACCAGTAACAATTAGTAAGTTTATTTGATAGTGTGCTTTGTAGTGTGTGTTGAAGTCAGCCCACAGACTTCGCGATGAGTGTTCGCATTTCGAATCCACGTAGTTTCGAAATGCAAACACTCATCGCGAAGTCATTATGCGGACTGACTTTACTCTGAACTTAAACTTGTGTTATGTAGAGACATAAACATATGGAAGGGTGGCGAGTGTTGAAAGAAATAAGTGTATGTAAGGCACAATATTATACATTGAATTAATATTTACAGAAACTGCTTGAGTATTTGTCAAGACATGCAAGTTCTTTCTATTCAACGCCGATTTCAAATAAGCGTCGAAAGTCAAATGACGGACGCCATCTTTGACAGTTGCAGTGGCTGTTCTAAATATTGTGTGTTCGCTTCTCAATTCATATGTGGCGGTACGAAATGTCCTCATCAATTCGTTTTGATCATCAATCAGCTTCAGTTTCATTGGAACCTGCAATGATTTAATGAATCCATCAAACGAATATCTTTGCAAATTTTAAATTACGCAAGGGATTTTAATGCAGTTTTTAGCAATAAATAGTGATTCAAGAGGAAGGTTTATATGACACTCGTGCGAAGACGGGGCGGATAGCTAGTATATTAAAATATATACTCAAGCTCTTAGTGGGAAATTCAGCAGGAATTTAATATGATGATACGAATTTACAGGGGGAACCGCGTGGAGGTCATTGTACATGTGTTGGTACATTGCTAGCAATGGGGATATTAATCCACGTTACTAATAATTACCCTTACCCCCCAAAAATATCTTTGTATGTGATATTTGCACATAAAAACTATATTATATATATATATCAATTCGATAGACGTATTGATTAACACCTCAAGGTCTGGAAGGGGATTGTTAGTAATGTGGACTGCTGATCTTATTGCTAGCAATGTATGGTACATTCAGGTCAGTCATACACACATAGGTCATACAGTCGCGGTTCCCCCTGGAAACCATCGTGATAAATTCATGGTGAATTTGTCACGATGGGCTAACTGACCTGACCTCATGCTCATCTTATCATCCTCCACTGGTGCCCCGCCAGCGTAAACCATTAGCGCAGGCGGGTGCACCATTCTATTATCATCCATAAAAAAAACATCTTAAGGTCAAATTAAGTTTACAATAATATTGATTATTATAAAATTAAGAGGGATGACATACCTTAGACCCTGGACATACGCCATCTAAAGAGCAATGCTCAGAGTCAAACTCACTCCGCACAGTGCCGAATCCTTTTATGAAATACGGCTTCAAATCCTCCAAAGACCAGCCCTTGAAGCCCATTCGAGACCATCTCTCATAGTCCTCCGGTAGACCAAAACCATGAAGCAGGAAGTTTATTTGTCCGGATCCACCCAGGCCTTTACCTCGTGGGATAATCTGGGTCTAAAAATACAAAGTTGTAAATAATATAGAGTGCAAAACAAAGGGATTTGATAAGTATAATTAGTAAATCACGGGATCTTGCCATGTTTTATTTTTGTTGAGTTCCCGATATTTCGGCAGTGTTTTAACGGCCGTGATCACGGATAAACCGTTTACCCGTTATCATGGCAACTCAACAAAACTAAAACGTGAGTTCCCAATATTTCGTTTCAACGGCCATGATCCCGTGATTTACTAATTATACTTATAAATAATGACCGCGTCAAACTTAAAAACAAAAGGGATTTGATTTGATTTGAAATTAAGTATCCACGTCAAAGTTATTCTGAAAATATAGAAAATCTTTTCTATATTTTCAGATTACTCTGTATCATACAGGTACTACACTCATCTCAATATCAAGAGACCGATGTCGCAGACATGAAAAATCCGAGCAGTTTCCGTGGCTTACGGGACGGGTAAGTATAAGAGGCGCTTGCTAATGTACGCCAACACTGACCGTCACTGCTCGTGTTTCTGGGCTTTCACAGCCATATCTGGTAGGAGCCTGCTATCGCAAATTTTATATGCACGTTCTAGAATGATCGATGCACCGTGCAATTCAAATGGGTATCGAATTTATGATGCCTAGAGGTTCGGATTCCTAGCGGTCAGGCTAACGTCGTATCCGTCAGGCGGAAGTTGGCCTTCGTCCACTCCATAAGACTTTTCGCGGGTTTGGAGTGCCAACTACACTCGCCTCTATCGTTCAGTGAAGCTGTAAAGGCCAGATCCGACCAACAGCAATAGAATAGTTCGAAAAAAGACTCTATTTTTATGTATCTATGTTATAAATTCACTTTACCTGTTTCCAAAGGCCAAAAGATGAATATTTTTGCGGTACAGTTCTCACAGACCAGTCATTAGGTCCCTGTTGTGCAGCTGTAGGTGTGAGAGGTATCCTAGTGAAATAGCCCATGTAATCACCGGCTTCAATCAGCAGCACTGTCACTGTGGGATCTTCAGAGAGGCGAGAGGCAAGCACGCATCCTGCAGTGCCGGCCCCAACTACGAAGTTTATTCAAAACTGAAATCTATCTTTAACAGAAGTAGACTTTAAGTCGTATGAATGGGTACCTCACTCTATTTTAGTTGTTAAGTAGCCTATTGATAATAATGTTTTTATAGAAAAACTTAAAATCCATAGCGCTGACAATATAATCCGATTACACTAATAATGAGTGCGTAGCGATTTCTATGTTGATTATAGCATGCCTCTTGTTACAGGTACTGTAATTATTTACATAAAAAACATCTATTCAAAACAGCAACACACAAGTTTCTTGCTCATTCTTCTTGTGATGAATCTGCATTCCGAATGAGTGGTAGAATCAAAATATGACTATTCAAAAGTGCTTGTAATGAGTTTATTTGAATAAAGATTATTTCTATTTCTATTTCTTGCTTTGTAATCTACATTTCAGCTGTAGGCTGCAGATTAGGCGGTGAAATTACAGGCGACAGACGTGGTATCTTAGTCTGGAATGGCAACGCATGTGTCAAAAGTCAGAAGCTCTGAATTCGTATAATTTACTCGCTAAACATATTGTAAATAACCTCAAAAAGATCAACAAAATATAATAATTTGCAAAATTACAACATTATTATATTTGAATTAAAAAGAAATATATATTTATTCATTTACGTATGAATTTATATACATAATATAATATATGCATCCCCTCCAGAGGAACACATTATGCAATTAAAACTTTGGCCGTATTAAATCGCGGCTGAAGTACTACATAATATATTTATAATCCAAAAAAAAGGAAAAAATGTGATAATAAAAACATTAGAGAAACAAATAAATTTAATAAAAAAAACGCATGTGTCAAATGATAATGTGAAATCCGTAATGTTATTGATGTATATTGAGGACAGTTATAGTTTAGCATAATGTAGACTATCAGCTTGTTCGAATAAGTGCACAAAATGTGCATGTGTTTATAAAAATAATGTATTTAAACATTTATACTAATTAGTTGTTTCGTGTCTTTAGTTTTGAATGACAATGTTTTAGTTTTGAAATGACAGTGTGAATTGTCCCGAGTTAATACTATTACTTTTTATATTACAAAGAAAAAAATATGATTTCCTATTATTGTTAATTTAGATAATAAACATGAAAATATAATTTAAGTAGAAATTTGTTTAAGGAACGCCTCATAAAAAGTATACATTATTGTTTTAAATGTAATTGCAGTGTTATTATTATCAGGCGCTGTGGATTTAAGTTTCGAATGGTCATTTTAAATTAATACTTGTTTTAAAGAAAATCTCGCGTGAATCTAGGTATTAATATAATAGTATATATGTGTTAATTTGGCATATGAAATATGTGTATATGTGTGTCATATGAATTAGTACAGTGTTTGCGTGAAAAAGTGATCTACCAAAATATCTTTATTCATGTAGGTCTATTACAGACTATTATGATATCAAATCTAACTTCAGTTCGGAGTGTTTACGAGTTAAGAGGAACTGATAAGAAAGTCAGCTCTTATTATATTCCAATGAGCTTGATTAGAAAAATACAGATTCATTTTTAAATTAAATTAGGGAGAATGTAGTTAGCGCCAGCATATGATATTGCATTTGAACATTCAATCATTACATACTTTTCCTTTATATATATTAATACTAGCTGTCCCGGCAAACGTTGTTTTGCCTTAAAATAAAAAAAAATTAGGGGTGGACTACCCCTAACATTTAGGGGGATGAAAAATAGATGTCGGCCGATTCTCAGACCTACTCAATACGCTCACAAAATTTCATGAGAATTGAGGTCAAGCCATTTCGGAGGAGTATGGGAACGAAAACTGTGACACGAGAATTTTATATATAAGACAATTATTGCTTTTTTTAAACATTTTAAATTTTATACATTAGGCGTGCTTAATATTAATAGCATTCTCTACCAGCAAACTCTATGGAGTGTAGAGGTACTCGAAGGCAGTTTGGTACATAATTCTTTTTTAAAGCAACATTTTGTAGGAATTGTAAAAATACTTACCAATAATATAGTCATATCTCTTCTGTGGTTTCACAATGACACTGCTATAAATATTCACATATTTAACATATACAATGTAAGATACGAATGCAATAAAAAAACCGGAAATATAAGAATATAAAGACATAACTAAAATACTTCTGGATATATATTAGTATTTTGTACTATCAGTTTTGTACGCCTTAGTATATTAGATTTTCTACTAACAACGTCTAATGAAGTGGTTTCTGTGACGTATGTCATTGTACCCACTACCGCCGAGTAATTCAATTAGGCAGGGATGTACCACCTTTAGTTAAAGTTGAGTGGAGCCATTTCAGTGCCTATATGTAAAAATTGTTTATTTTATGTTTATTTTTAATTCTGTACATGTTAAATTATGTTTAATTATATTTACATTTAATTTTATTTCATCTTGTTTGGTTTTGTTTATATTGTTACACTGTAGAAAAGCAATAAATAATACTTTTTCTTTCTTAGTTCTTATTGGTATTTCATACATATAGTAGGTACTTACAATCTAACTTACTTGACTTTTTGTTTATAGATTAGTTAGCAAATTATTTAGAAAAGTTCACCATTGCACTACCAAGAAACTAAAATACTGTCCTGATCATCTGGTCCTCTTCCACGTACAAACATTGTGAAATCACCATACATCAATGGTATTTCCGAACCGATACGATAACCTTCAGATGAAAGCTTATTCTTTCCTTCCTTCAAGAGCTTATTCCTTCTTAAAAGGCCTTGCAATTCCCTGGTTTTGTGCGTGTTCATGGGCGGCGGTAATCACTTACCGTCAGATGAGCTGCAAGCTCGTGTCATCTATGCTATGTGCTAAAATAAATCACAGGATTTTCGTGATTTATGACCTGGAGTAAAAAAAAACAAGACACCTTGGTATTCGTTTGCTCTCTTGTTACACACGCATACAGTAGGGCTACGCTACTGAAGTACTGAAGAGCATAATCTCTGTTCTAGTTTGGGATTGTTTTAACAAAATAATTTCGGTTAATAAGTTAGTTATAGTAGTTAACAGATGTGGCGGACTAAAGCTACAGCGGAGGCTAGGCAACATTGCAATTCCGGGCCCATTTTTCTGTCAAAACTCAAACTTTGGTTTTGGTAGTTTTAAAAAATGCGGGCCTTAGGCATGTTCCTTGATTGCCTTAGTCCGCCCCTGGTTATGAGAAGTAACTGTGTTGTGATCGATTATTATTCAAGCTAAAAGGTAGACTCCAAAGTCAATTTAAAAAATTGTGCTTTATTGTATGAGCAAAATTTTGAATTAGTAAAAATATAAATTCTAAAACTGTATCATACATGTAAATGTTTGCGACCACTGATGACTTAAGAGGATTACAGTTTAATCCAGGACAGTGGAATCGATACTTTCAGTATTACATGCAATATTTTAAACGACTTTTGAAAGGAAGGTTTTGCTATTAGGTAGATACCTACTTCTTTTTAATGGAATGGTGCACCCGCCTGCGCTAACGGTTTACGCTGGCGGGGCACCAGTGGAGGATGATAAGATACACATGAGGTCAGCTTATTGGCACATTCACCAGGAATTTATCACGATGGTTTCCAGGGCTGACCGCGTGTAGGAAGATTTCTAAGTTATTTTTAATTCTTACATTAGTTCAGTATCTATATATTATAAGCTTTGATTTTGTGTAATATTTATTTATCTAAAACTAATATAGAGACAGCCAGAAATATGACAACACAAAAAGTATTGGTGTTAACTGGATTCGAATTCGAGATCTTTTGGGTGTAATTCAGGACAGTAAAGAACTAGGTTATGACACTCTAATTATAATTTCTTAGAGATAAATGTGTTAATGAAATAAGAACTCTATGTTTAGAGAGTATAAATCTATAATTCCACATCTCCACCATCTTCGATCATTTCTCCAACAGCTGGCACCATGACAGGGGCTTCGATGACTTGTCTGCGGCCTTTAGCGTCTACAACTTCTATGGTCTCAGGTTCAATATCCATTTCATTATCCTCCTCTGCTTGTCGTTGTTTTAGACCAGCTGCTGGGGATCTGTAAGAGAGTAATATTTTGTAATTGTTAGAAAAATTACAGACAGTCTGTCTTCAAGGATGGACATGTAATAATAAATTCCTTCAAACTGCTCAAGCACATAGACAGTACATATTGACATAAAAACAATATTGTTATGTACTTGACTTAGGTCCATACATAGAAAAAAATAATGGTGAAAGCCAAGATAAATAATAAAAAAGAAATAATGATATTAGAATCACTTGGTCACTATGACACATAACTATCTTGCCAAAGAATTTCAAGAATAATAATATAGTATATATAATTAATAAAAATAAGCCCAACCTTGTCATCACTATAAAACTACCAACTATGTTGTGAAATTGTGAAATATTAATAACTAGCTGTCCCCACGACTTTGTCCGTGTGTATTTAACTTTATTTTTCTAAAATAAAAGTAGCCTAAGTTACTCCTTATTACATCACTTACCTGCTAAAAAAGGTCACGTCAAACTAAATGAATGAACATTTGGTATCAAAATATTCAGTTTTATCAAGATTTTTATAACAAAGAGGTTACCAGACTCTATGGGCTGGGTTAGTAGTAATCTTTTTGTTTAACTTATAAGTTGTATGGGAATGGAGTATACATATTATAAGAATTAGACCAAATTAACTAGCTTTTACCTGTGCCTTCACTCACATGTTTTTTTTATAAACAGTATCTTAGGTTCAATTTAAAGTGTCCTATGTTCAAAGAATGTGTACAAAATTTTTTTTTATAACGCAGGAGACAAACGAGCATGCGGCTCACCTGATGGTAAGTGATTACCGCCGCCCATGAGCATCCGCAACACCAGGGGAATTACAAGTACTTTGTCGGCCTTTTAAAAAGGAATGAGCTCTTTTCTTGAAGGTTTCAATATCGTATCGGTTCGGAAACATCATTGCTAGAAGTTGATTCCACAATGTGGAGGACTACGACGTGGTACTTCTTGCGTGGCAAAAAGTTTCTAGAAAACCACACAGTGGAGGACCGCCATTCATCCAGATGATCAGGATGGTATTTTAGTTTCTGGTGGGTGGTACGGTGGTGAAACTCAGCAGCTGGTATTAATCCGAACAATTTCACGATTATTGGCGCAGTAGTTTTTGCGTAAAATCTTAACAATACCTACCTTCACATTTATAATATTAAATAAAGATTCTGCAGAATTATTCTTATGAGAATGAAATTAAAACTTTATGGAACAGCCTGTAGTTGTTTTAAAGATGTTAGGGTTTTAGAGGATGTAACGTAAATTGCATTATACAGCACCTCGAAATATAGTTTAAAAATAGATCAGTACCTTATGAGTGATATATCTCTTTGCACCTCTCTTACGTCCCTCTGCCACTCAACTTCGCGCCCTTTCCTTAATCTCTGCATTATGTAGTTATTGGATCTATTCTGCCTTATCTCTTCCACTTTCTTCATAGCTTCAATGGTCTTATTCCATAATTCCCGGCTATATTTCACTGGAGTGTGACGCCGTTTTTCGAACTCAAACGATGGGTCGATCGCCAATTCTTTACCCGCTGTTTTACGGTACGCTTTAGTCCATTTGGTTTTACGCGGGTTTTTCTTCTTTTTAAAGGCTGCATGGCATTTTGAACGGCAGAATCTGAAAATCTGTGGCCAGTATTAAACATTGTTGTGAAATATGAATGACATAAAATTAAAGTGTGTAATATTAAGTTACCTTGCAATCGTTCCGAACAAATTGAATCCCGTGGCCAGGATATACCCTGGAGGAGCAGAAATAACAAGTTTCTATACGCATTTTGTATAATTTCTACACGTGCTTGTTTTGATCCATTTGACAGGACGTAAAAAGACTTTTTTAATGAAATGTTTCCAACTTCTAAAATTATTTACTCATAAATATGTAACCACTGAATGTGTAAGTTATTATTTAAGATCTATTGGTTGCTTTATCTTAAGTATTTCGTAATAACTTAAAGATATATATAACGTACTTACATAAACTCATAAATGCTACTGCTTAAGTAAAATTTAAAGAGTTCGTAAACATATTTACAATTGTTATTAATGATTATTTTTGACTTACTATTTTACCATTAGTTTTGCATTCAAATTTATCTCTTAAAGGTACACTTTAAATTTAGACAGCCCCTTAAATAAAATTTTAAAGTAATATTCGGTTCTAATTATTTTCCTTATAAATTCGGGAGGAACTCTTTATGTGGGAAACCCTAATGTTGCCTGACCCAATGTTACCATAATATTATCGAAATTTTTAGTGAATCTGTTGCAAATATAATTCATAATGGAGTTACTATTTACGCAATAATTATTATATTAATGTGCTATACGTAGAGTAATAATAATAAATAATTTAATAAAAAATTTAACCTTCACTAATGACATCTATAATTTTATTTGATAACTATTAACATAATTTACAAGTCGCTACTCGATACTAGATGTCGCTACAAGGACTAAATTTTAAATTTGTCACTGCACTATATATTATTGTGCACATAGAAGAAATATATTAAGAAAAAAAAAATTATATTATTATTAATGCATCTCATTCATCAGGTACATGAGACAACTTCGCTTGATCAGGTATTTATAATTAAATATTGTAGAGATTTGCATCGCACCATCAATAGACTGAGAGCATACTAGAGTTGCCATATTTTTTTTCAGCCTATAAGAGGCAAGTGCTTATTATGCTATAATAGGCAAAAAAATATGGGAATTTAGTTTTTTACCTGGGACAAATAAAAAACAAAATTATATAGTGACATGCTTTGTTTTTTTTATATATATATTTTCTGAAGAAACTTTCGCTTTTTATTAAATTATGGGTAATTAACGAATGTTGCGTGTTTGGGTATTTTTGTCCAGCGTAGATCGATCGATTTAAGAATAAAAAACGGAGCACGATTCGAATACGGGACAGAGTCAGTCTCGCCGGGACATTTTAAACTGAGCCTAAAATACGGGACGTCTAGGCAACGCTAGTGCATACCCATTATTAAAATCACAATGCTAATATGCAATTGTACTCTGGTGGTCCCCTTTGGCGTAACTACACTCGTGTGTCGACTAAACATGGCCTTATTATCAAAGGCCCGTGTCCATTAGTCGTGGAATATCACTTTGTGATTACGTCTGTTGAATTCATATTGATTAAATCGTTTTAGTATTAGTATTTATGTGCTAATAAGTTAGTAAATTGATGGTACTTAAGCGAATTAGATGCGTTTATTTATACTCTTTATAGGACCACAGATAAGATACATAATAGCACCAAATATAGAAAATCATTAAAATAGTAAATATGCATTAACTGGTGCAAAGCAACGGCAATTTGTTCCAGACTACCTTAGATTGGATAGACAAAGTAAAGATAAGAAAAATATGAGTATTTTTTTTTAATTTTCACTAGGTTTCTTTTTTTTTTTAAATATTTTTTTATATAGAATATACATTATTGCACTTTTTAACTTAAGATACTTACTGTGTTCTGAGTGTGCACGAGTTAAATAATGTTGTACTTATTCCTCTAAGAGCTATTGATATTTTCTAAACGATACACATTTAAGGTAGTATATCTTACAAATATTATAAACGCGAAAGTTTGTGAGTATGAATGGATGTTGAAACTACTGAACGGATTTTGTTGAAAATTTACAGTAATATAGCTCATACATCGGAACACATAGGCTATAATATAAAAAGATTGTGGGCGAAAATGGAAACCAGGGAATTTTGAGATATATATAATAATATATTACAAAGAAACAATACTAACTAGAGCCAGAAAGGGAAATCGACAGGAACAATAGAAAGAAGTGACAATTAAGAATAAAATATGGTATTTGTAGTATAAAGCTTATAATAGATCATAGATTAAGAAAAGTGGGCTGGATTCCACAAACTGATTGTTATCTAATTGAACAGAGATTAAGTGCGTAGCGGTGCTATGTTGATTGTCGCATGCCTAATCCTTGTTAATGTAAATATAATTAAAATAATATTTATTAAAAAGAGCAACACACAAGTTTCTTTCTCATTCTTCTTGTTATGAGTCTGCATTCCGAGCGGTAGAATGTCAAAACTTGACATTGAAAAGTGCTTATATTAAGTTTATTTTAATAAAGATTATTTCTATTTCTCTATTTCTAGTTCGTTAGTTCGTATAATAAAAGGCTAAAAATCGTCTTAAAACAAACATGAATACTACTTTTCGAGAAAAATTACTTACTTTACTAGTCTAAGATTCTCTAAGTCTTATCTAAGTCTCTAAGTCTTGAGAATCTTAGACTCCCCGATCCCTGCAGTTATACGGCTAATTCATTACTATTGACAAATAACAGTATCAAGTTATCAATATCATCATATTCGTTTCGAGTGCATGTTAGCATTCACATATCACACATTTCGGTCTGGCCACTCATGATTCTCATGGCGCGGTATGCTAATTTGTCGACGTGCGATTTTTTCCACCCCGGATAGTCTTGCTCTTAATAGTTCACGACTGGGATCTTTTAGTTCTAAACGCTCTTGTGAACTAGTTCGTTCATTAGTTCACTCGCTCATGACTCAACTTAGAGAAGCTTGATCAATTCCTATTAGTATTTTTTTTTCGTGTTGTTTTAGTAAGAATTTTAGTCTTTTATTAAATGAAGTAACGAATTAAAAAGTGTTAATTTTGTTCTCAACGCTCTTGCGTAGGCGCTAGTTCGTTCTTTTTGTCCACACGCTTACGCCTAAATTTGAACGCCATAGATATGAACTGGCCGCACCACTGCAGGGATGGGGGAGTCTAAGATTCTCTCAACTTAAAAGATGACATCCAGGGACTAGCGGAAATATTCGCAGACAGCCCTGAAAGTTGACTCATTGGACCAGCTCATGAATTGAAAGGAATACAAACAATATAAGAAAAAGAGCCAGATTGGACTGTCGTATAATAAAACTGACTGCCAATTAGGAGTAATCAAAGAGAAAGAAAAAAATAGGGAGATTTCTCTCATTATGAAGAAGTGAAGATCTTCGAACAAAAATCTCTCATGTGAAGATCTTCGAACTAGATCGCTTCCGAACTTTACAACCCTAACCTGGAGCGCATCACGTCGCGTGCATTTAAAAAATCCACGTCTGCTTGTCATTGGTGACATACGAGGTGACATGAAGAAATGTCGCGACTCGCATTGTAATGTAAAGAGGTTTTCATATTGAGTTCATAAATTTCTTTATAAAGGTTTTTAGGTTAGCTTTATGACAGTGCAATTATTCAGTTGTAAGTATCCGTTACAGTTAAGTAACGAACAGACTTACTGAAAGTCTTCCCTGACGGGTTTAGGTACCGAACTCTGATAAAGGGCGAGCACAATAGATCTATGTAGGTCGCAGTGCTACAGGTGCTATAGGCACCTGACAATAGCTTAAACAACCCAATAAAAAAAATGCAGAAAGTCGTCTCAGATGATAGCCATGTAATGCGAAGTGGCGAGGAATATTCGGTCAAGTCTTAAGACGTGAACGCAAAAGAGGTAGAGGACGTCCTCCAGCCACATGGTACACCTGCATGAGCAAGCTTATCGCAGCGGAAATGGTCTTAACGCCGTAAAATTAGGAGAGCCAATCCCACATAAGCCAGGATAGAGCTAAGAAAAGAAAAAGAAGTATAGTAACCGTTCAATCTATACATATAAGAAAAAATATACAAGTCGAATGTCTGTACATTGAAGAAAAAACGCCAAAAACAGACTCTGGGGGATGTTAGAAGTGAATTAAAACAACCAGATTTTTTTTTTATTTTTGTTTCTCCGTTTGTTTTACGGGCTAATAGCCGAAACTGCTGGACCGAGTTAAATGAAATTTTGCATGTAGTCCGGAGCACTGTTGTATGGTATCATTAGAACTCCGGTCAACATTTTAGATACTTTGAATCACGGAAAATTAAAGAGTTCCTATACAGTTAAAATTTATAATAGCTTATACAACTTAGTTATTATTATATATATATATATATATATATATATAATACTTATATTATATATACTTATTACATAATCTACTTAAGCAAAGTCACTTTGACCTAAAGCAAAGAGTGAGAACGACACGTCATTTATTAATTTTAGTTCAGTATTCCTATATATAATAGTTAGGTAGGTACATATATAGATACACTCTAAACTTACATCTTGGAATATTTCAATCCTACATTCTGGCAGGGAAAAACCCTAGACCTTTTTACGCAACGCCATCCTTTGCCACGCAATTTGTAATGGCAAGGATTTGATCTTATATTTAAAATTCTCGTGTCACAATCTTAGTTACTATGTTCCTCTGACACGACTTGACCGAATTTTATGAATTTTTATATGCACATAGAGTAGGCCTGAGAATCGGCTACAATCTATTTTTCATACCCCTAATTGATAAGGGTTGTCCAATCATAACACTTTTTTTATTTTTTCTGGTCAACATTATTTGTTATTTTTTAATATGGCATTAAAATACACACAACCCTAAATCTTCACCCTTCTACCATCAACCCCAATTTTTTAATAGCTATTTTGAATTATATGCCAAAACAACGTTTGCTGGGTCAGCGAGATATCTTAATAATTTATAACCACGAAAGTTTGTGAGTATGGATAAATGTTTGTTACTCTTCACGCAAAAACTACTGAACGGATTTTGATGAAACTTTACAGTAATATAGATTATATATCAGAGTAACACATAGGCTATAATATAAAAAGATTGTGCGCGAAAAAGGAAACCAAGCAATTTTGAGATATATATATATATATATGTATAATATATTTTATAAATCAGGATAACATATAGGGTTATAACA